GGTAGATCTTGGAACTTCAGAACCTGAATCAGGTAGGTCATCCTTTGTGTAAATCTAGTTTGCCTTGTTGCTCAATGAGTCCCGTCTCTTATTTTCTATCTTGAATGGCCCGGAATAGTAATCGGCACTGGACGCAATTTTTTTGTTTTTTTGTTTGTCACTTCTCAAATGTATATATACCTTTGCTATCACTATGTGCCATCAACGGCAGGGGAAACTCGTTGAAACATTGTATAATTAAAAAAAAAAACAAATAGAAACGTTGAACCTACGATTTGAAAAATTAAAATAATAAACCATTTCCGGTCATTACATTGACCACTGCGATAAGTTATGAAATTTATTTAAAACCTTCAAACTCTATGATAAGTGACATTTTCATTGCGAACACAACAGTTCGTAAAAAATAAGCCTTCAGAGTACTGTAATCTGGAGCACTGCACGGAGGTACATTACGTATCTCTCAATTCAATAGAGTACCCTAACAGTCCAGAATATCTCACTCTACTCTGCCTTCTTCTCACTAACTCTACTCTCTCTTACTCTACCCTCTTCTCAATGCCTTTTATTATTATTACCACTACCCTCTTCTCATTGACTCTACACTCTCTTACACTACCTTCTTCTCAATGACTCTACACTCTCTTACTCTACCCTCTTCTCAATGACTCTACACTCTCTTACTCTACCTTCTTCTCAATGACTCTACACTCTCTTACTCTACTTTCTTCTCAATGACTCTACACTCTCTTACTCTACCCTCTTCTCAATGACTCTACACTCTCTTACACTACCTTCTTCTCAATGACTCTACACTCTCTTACTCTACCTCCTTCTCAATGACTCTACACTCTCTTACACTACCTTCTTCTCAATGACTCTACACTCTCTTACTCTACCCTCTTCTCAATGACTCTACACTCTCTTACTCTGCCTTCTTCTAACTGACTCCACCCTCTTCTCAATGCCTCTAAACTCTCTTACTCTGCCTTCTCTACTATCCTCTCACTCTGCCTTACCAGCTTTACTGTCCTCTCACTCTGCCTTCTTCTCACTGACCGGCTTCATTTTAATTATTACCACAATAGCACCTTTACCAAGAGGTAAATTCATTTAGGATAAGTTCCTATTTGGGTAGTTTTCAGCAATTGCTATATGCCTACCGTTTATCAGCAATTACTATATGCCTACCGTTAATAACCTCTTCAGTGCTAAATGGGGTGCAAACAAGCTTCTACTGTAGGGCATATTCTGGCAATGTCACATAACATGTATGCCCAATTTTCGTATTTCAGGGATAGATTCCGGACTGAAATTTATCGAAGATGAAGAGCTCCGGTGCCGGTTAGAGGACTAGGAGCATTAATTTTATATTTGGGGACAATTAGGCCTATACAACCCGATTCACAGTAAGAAAAACAAGAAGCTTTCAATTCTAAATGAACCCATAAATAAAATGATCAGATAGATCAGATC